TACCACCACCAAAACCTTCCTCCGTACAAAATTGGCCAGGAATCCTCAATTCCTGCCAGCTTGCAATCAACTGATGGCACCTTTCAGCGTTATGTGTCATCCGATATTTGGAGAAAAAAAATCGAGGGAAGGTTGAGGAAACAATTTAAGCGACATTTCGAAGCTTCGAACAACCCCTACTGCCATGGTGTTACCGTACGTGCGAAGTCGCTCCAATTTACTGAAACAGAAAACTGGATTTTGGCTATAATTTTGGCCTCACCGACTCTTGTTTTTTTTTTCGTAGCATGCAGCAGAGTGCCTTCCCAAGGATGCTGGGTTATGAGCATAACGTGGAGGCTCGTATTTGTGTTTCCTGGGAACCGTGCCGACTTTGTCTGTATGTACCAGACAATAAGTTCCTTCGGCAGCTACTGGGCATTCAACTTCATGCGTGGTAAAGGTGATGGAAGGGGGACGCTCCTCTTTCTTCATAATGCTGTTCCGCTGGTGCGCAGTCCGTCTTCCGGAATGATGATCGCCATTTGTGCGGGCGCAGGCCTATCTAGGCATTCACTGTAACTTGCCAGCATTATTCAGGTATTCCTCGCAGCCGATGACCGTCCACATTAAAGTGACATGGAGTAACAGCGACGGTATAAGGCGCGGCCATAGCACGTGGCCGTACCACTGAAGTCGTCACCTGTAGGTGGTGGAATGGAGACACTGTCAGTAGGTGAAATGAAGTGATATCAGCTGACAAGAGCTGGTAAGAGGGGTTTTAATGCAAGTACTACGGAGTTCAGAGCGCGCGTCGCAGCAACGATGGGGGGTTTGGACTCAACGACTGATATAAAAATGGGACGGGAACAGTGATGGTAGCTGGCAGAAAGTGATAACGACTGATAAGACATGATAAGGGATAATAGACAGCCAGAGTTGGACAACGGTTCTCAGAAACAATACACGGGGGGATGGAGCTACTGATGGAGGATGATAAAAAGTGATAACGACATATGAAAGCTGATAAGGGCGTGAGGAAGAGAGCTGCAAAAAATTGGTCGTGCGCGTTGTAGCAAGAGCAATACTTTTGGCAAAATGTAAGTCATGACATTTGCCATTCAAGACTGATAGAAACAGATAACAAGCTGTGCATTAAGTCAAATTGATAAATGACTAATTCAATAAATCTCTGAAAGAATCTAAATGTAGAAGAAAAGTACATCCTGCTCACCTTATCGTGACATATGCTCTTGCGCGTCATCTCATTTCCGCTGTCTCCTCGGACGGAAAGGACCACACTTCGGCAAACGTTCGTGAGCCCGTTTCGGACATTGGCGCTTCGTTCGCGTAGAAAGCTGAAATCATTTAGACACTAAGCATCACAAAGAGGAAAAGGCCATACAGCCGAAGGCTAGACAGCAAAGCGAGCGACTTACCTTCCCATGCGAAGGTTCTAGGCAGCTAACTGGGAACTCGCTTGTTGGGACTTATCTCGATATTGTCCGATATTTTTACTGACGTCCCACACTTCCCATTATTCTATATTAAATGTGAATTACAGGTCGGCTATTAACGCTAGCGAAATTTACATTCCTTGAAACAAATTTCAATGCAGACAAATCAAATTAAATACTGATCGAGGCTGGGTTGCTGTCCCCCCTCTTGGACAAAAGCTCTCCCAGAATGAGAGCACACCACCAGGGGAATTAATCATCGACGGATGGCGCGGGGTCAAACTGTGGTTGTTTAGAAAGGGTGTGGTTTCTAGGTAGTTTGGATTTTCACTCTTTCACTAGAATGGCACATGATAGATGCAGGAAAACAGCCCCAAACATCCTTTGATGAGGTTTCCAAGCTGCAACCATCTACCCACAACATTACTGTGGATGGGAGCGAGAAGACAGCACTCGAACCTTCACAAAAACCCCGAGCATACTCTCAGCTACCAGCTTCTAAGTGCAAGAAACTGGACACCCGTAAATTCGGGCAGAATGCGTCCATACTCGATATCCTCACAGTTGGGGCGGGGTCAGGAAATGTGGAATGATCGCTCACTGCTGCATTTTTTACCAACAGTGATATGCTAGTGTTCCATTCAGGGAGAAAACAAAGAATAGTACAAGGCCTCGCAGGTGGGCATTCCATGCCTCCTGACACCGTTCCGATAGACAGCGACGATAAACTAAATATATAGAATCAGGAGAAATATGTGGAACTAACTTGATCAAGTGACACTTTCCCAACTAATCGAATCACATCCTTTCGTTGCAGGAACATCTTGTCAAAAACTTCCAGTTCCACTAGGAGATCCTAAATGAAAAAGTCAATAGCAGATTGGAAGATGCACTGCCTAGAAATATGAACCTTTGACGCTCGACGCTCGAATGGGAACTTGACGATAGACGCTGACGTGGACGCGTCCGTCGGTTGCCATACCAAGGAGAAGCCCGATTTTGTGACCTCAAATAAGGGAAAGTTACTATATATTATTTTGATGGGTTATCACTGATTCATGCTCAGTATTCTGGGTAATTTTATAAATGATCGAAACAAGACCGAAGTAACTTGAGGAGAATCTTTTGGTAAGGGACCAATATAAAGTGGTCTCTTTCATAAACGAAAGACTACTCAAAGGTGATTGCACATTACTAGCAATAAGGGAGATTAAGTCAGTCACGCGATATAAGTTATTGAAAAAAACTCCAAGCACCTGCTTTTGAGATAGGTCCGCATTGAACGTCGTCACTTTTTTATTGCCATAGCTGAGCTTGAGCCTGAAAAATTAGCTTTGGTCAAGAGCGGTCGTTCAAAGGTACACTCCGTATTCATATGATGTTCAGACACCTTCCGTGGACATGACAGTCCTGCACGCACCGTGAATCGTACTCCGGAGTTTGATGTAGGCGGTCGTCAACGGGCCGCAGCGCGTGCCAGGAACTATTTGCTTTTCCAGGCTAATTTAGTCATTTTTTCCACCTTGTGAAGATAAGGAGCTGCTAATCTGGGAAAAAGTAGCCAAAACAGTGAAAAGTTGGAAAAAAATTGACCGATAATTATTTTCGCCTGAAAAAGCCAAAAATAGTTCCTGGCACGGCGGCTGCCGCCCGTTGACGACCGCCTAGTCAACTGCCCGTCAATGACGAAGGGTAATGAAAAGGACGTGCTACAATTCGCAACGCAAAAAACACTCTAGAGAAAAAGCGACCCAGCTCGTAACGAAACCACTGCCCCGCCCCCTGGCCACGGCAACGCCCAGTTTCCATTTCTGAGTTTTCTGATGGTGCGGTTGTTCCGCTGCTACATGACACTCTCCATTTCGAGTGATTATAGTGATGTGATAGGGAGAAAAAGCTGACGTCAACGAGTGAGAAGTCGCCCTACCACGATGTTTCTTCGCCTTATGCACGCACAATTGCGGTCCAGCATGGTGTTTTATATGTAGCACTTTTAGCGGTATTGCGCGCAAATTCCTTCACTTTGTGATATTTACCATTTTGTCACTAGCATTTGGGCAGGACGACTCACCATTTTTGAACCCGGAGCGTGCCTTTCATTTTTAGAAACCTAGTGTTATCTCAGGTGCCTTTGCATTTGCGCCTCTTGGCCCTTACTCCCTTCATACAAGTGTGACCCTGTTTAGGTGGGCTTGTGGCTCAAGAATATCTCAAACTTGAAGACTCAAGAATAAGAATATCAAGAATAGAAAAAAGAAAAAACACATCAAATGAAACTTCCTGGAACCTCACCTCAACTGTTCACGTTGAACAGGAATATCTTTCAACGCTATTGAAGGCACATGAACGTCGCCATAGGCAATATTTGACAAATCCTGGTTCTCGAATCCAAGAAATGCTGGCGCATTGTGTCCTCTGAAAAGCAGCATCATGGAGGCAATAGCATAGGGCAGTACTTGAACAATCTGATGTTGGTATTTCACAAAATGGTGGAAATGGGAGACGACTGGAAAGCTTCCCGAACCAGCGAGAGCTGATATTTCGAGCAATGAGAACGGGCTTTTGCCCTGAACTCAGCATCCTTGTAATGACTTTTAGAGCGCTAACTGTGCCATTGGACAACAGTTATCACAATGGGAACAGGTTCAAAGCAATGAAAAGAGTTAGTGAATCACAAAGTGACATCACTAAATTTCATACATCAGTTCGTATAAGGACCAGTTTTTCAAGCAAAATTTGATAATCTATTGTAACAGTGTTATCATGTGGTATCATTTCTGAACCACTTTGTGGTTGCTCTTTTTTACAAGGAACCAATCGTTACCAAATTCAGAGGAGATCGACGGATACATCATATTTCACCCAAAAGGAAAAAATCCTTTGGAGAAGGCAGGAAACTACCCGGATGACGATTGGCTTCCGGTTAATAAATCAAGCCTCCCACCTTTACGCTGATCGTTGATCAGTAACGGAGAAATACATCAGTTCGGAACTTCGAGCTAGTATTACACAGCATTAGTTTCAAGAAGCGGCTCAGATCGAAGCTCGTATGTCGTTATGTGCGCACCGACCCAACGGGTCGGGAGATTTTGTGATTCTGAGGCTAATTCGTTGCATGTGTGGGGGTTTCCAGAAGAATAGGTGACAGTGAAGTGGGATAATTCTCTCTCACTACCGCTCCCTTCTACCCCGCGGATAATGGGTGTTGGGAAGGATGGTGAGCGCGGCTCTACCACACTCCAGATGACCCTCGCAGCTGAAGTATGACACCTCATCTCCCAGGAATCTTTGTTCCAGGGTATCTCATACGAGCACCATTCCCAGGAAATTCACCACTGCAATTTGCATCCACCATACATGCACTTTTAGGAATCGTTAATGCATAGGAGCCCTTGAAGCGTGAATGTTTCCCACACTAGTGCGAGCATTAAACAAACTTTATCTGAGAGTAGTTCTTGGAAGAGTTTCAGCGGTGCAATTCAGTAGAATTTCAGAGTAGTTCTTCGAAAAATTACAGCGGTGCAATTTAGCAGAACTTCTCTTTATTCGTGGGAAAACTCCAGCAAACAACCAAACGGTTACTAAGACTTCCTGCCCACACAGTGAACTCCCCGAAACGATTACGACACCCTTCAGTGAGAGATAGCTCGTACATGATCCCGTACTCAACAGATTCCGCGCTGCAGTTCTATCACGGCTCTGGAGCCTCTAATGAGGAGAAGGATCAAACCACATCTTGGGAAGAACTTTCTCTTCAACATGGTGGTTTGGGTTGTTGTGGCACAGACTGCACAACAGGGCGGCGTGGCCGGCCATCCTAAGACAAATTTCGATGGAAATCTTACCTGGATTTCAAAAAGGTTGTAAAGAGTGAGGAG